CCATATCGAGTTGTGAACTGTCGGTGCCTCATACAGTTTTCAAGAGACAAAAAAAAGGTGGACTGGACTGGACGAAATGTCGGCAGAATATGGCGGGTCCGGTAACGTTGACCAGCCGTGTTCATACATTTTTTCTATAGTCACTTTTGCGGTATGAGGCTTGGCGTTATCCTGCAAGAATATCACTTTCTTCCAAATGGTCAAAGAAGGCTGTTTCTGGATGAGTGCTGCTTGTACTCGTTGAAGCTGCTCACAATACAAGTTAGCAGTGATGGGACCCCTTTCCAAAAACTCATAATGGACAATTCCAGTTGCTGTCCACCAAACATACAACAAAACGTTGTTAGGGTGCAAGGAAGCCTTGGGCGTGTGTGGTACCGAATCAGTAGGCGACAACCAATGATACTAACGCTTAGAATTCGAATACAAAATCCATTTTTCGTCGCGGTTTGATAACCGATTAAGGAATGGTTCATTAGCGTTGCGTGAAATGTTTGCTGACCAAATGGTAAGAAGACTTAATTTGTTATACAATACAATACAATACAATACTTTATTGGTGTTAGTGTACGTACTGTACTTACACACGTTAGTTCGTAACAAAATGGTTATAGTAGGTATACATAGATGATAATCTTTTTATCCACCTTGCGGATGACAAAGGTGTATATATAATAATATATAAAAAGATACCGTGAAATGATAAAAATAATTTAAAAAGCAATAACAGATACAGCACATATCAAAATTTGTCAGTTCATGTAGGACCCATTTGTTTATCTTTTACGTCTTTCCTAGCTATGAAGATGCAAACGGATAGTTTCAGGACTCACTCTGAACATTTCTACAAGTTCTTGGCAGGTTGTCCTCGAATTTACATCCACAACCTGTCGAAGATCCTCGTTGTTGTTGAGATCTCCCGAAGAAAATGTTTTGAACCACTTCTGTGCTGTTCGATGACTAACGGCATCATCTCCGAATGCGGTACATATTTTCCGTGCCGCCACTGCAGCTTTTGTACCAAGTTTGTACTCATACAGTAAACAACTTCGAATTACTGTTTTATTCGTCGCCATTTTCAATTATTAAAACTAGGTATGTAACAATTTTCAGCAACTTTTTATGTGTATGAGTAAAAAAGGATTCATACTATTGACAACAGATAAACAATCGCTATCGATCAACAACATCCATGGCAATGTGCGATATACAGCAACCGCACGAACTTATTTGGTTACCTGATAGTACATGCAGCAGAATAATATTGCATTATACACTGTTTTTGTGGGATATGTACTATGAGACGCCCTATAAATGTATTCTGTTTTTTTTTTATTTTTGAAATAATGTATTCATAGTGATCCTCAAACATGTTTTGGTCGCACTAATTCTGAGATTTTAAATGTTAAATATTTCAACGTCTATTTTTTCACACAAAGCCGCAATTTTTGAGACGGTTTGAAATATTATTTATGGAAAATATGCGAATATTGTTTTGAAGGGCCAAGAGAAGAGGGTATCTGCAACGTTTTTATTTTATGCAACAATGGCTTTTAGAGTTAGAAGTTACTCGAAATGGAACCTAATTTTATCAACAAATCAGTATGTGACTTCACCCCTCTTTATGACAAGATATATGACATTATGGTCAATTATTTTGGCTGCGACTCCTTGTTAACAAGAATTTGGGTTCTCACTCTTGGACTATAAAAGTGTGTGATACCTTTTAACAACTGCATCTGTCAAAGGTGTTATAGAATAGTTAAAAGATGATATTACTTCGTTAATGACAGATAAAAGGTGTGACGTCAACTGTTAGGCCGTCTATGTAGGAAAATTCGAATTGTCAACTTAAAATATTATTTTGAAACGATTGTCTTCGATCCTTTTCAGTATTTTGATTGGGCAGTTCAACCTACGAGTGGTCAAAAATCTGTACACATTTCTTTGAACCGTTGAATCATCAAGTTCCATATAAAAACATACAGGATGTTCATTTGAAGACCTCCCATCACAGATTCATCAAAAACCACTAATAAAAAAAACGCCGAGACACATCAAAAGATTTGTCAAGAGGGACCACTTTTTAACTAAAAGCTAATTCACCCCCCTTTCAACCTCTGCCCCCAGGGTCATCCTCCTAAAATTTTTAGATGGCAAGGAATATCGAGCGATAGCTTGTTTGAAAAGCCTTTCGAAATCGTTTATTTTGACGTTTGATTTCTTAAAATCGATCGATTTGTTTTCAAGAAAATTAGAAAGATCTTTATTTATCTTAATTTGTTGATAGAAAACAAAAATACAGGAAAATATCAGTTGCTATTTCAAAATGATTCCAGCTAGGGTTTGACAAATCTACAATTCGTTTTTATTTGAATCGGTAACTACCAACATAAACAGCAATTCAGAAGATTAGACGTAGCGACAACCAAGTAACAACCCGACTTTTTTCCGCATTCTTTTCATCAAGACACATATCCTAGACGAACTGTATTTATTGCTATACCTGTTTAGTTATTTGTTGCTAAAGGCAATAAATAATTTAATTTGCTGTTAGTTACCTTTATGATAATCTTGAGATAGTGAATATTAATTCATTGATGCAGATCTTACTTCTAAAATGTTACTAAATTTACTCACTATGTTCTCCTGGTTCGGCAATGACTAGATGACGAGTTTCCAGATAGATCGATAGGGCGAAGAGGGCCTATAGGATGGCCTGCTAGATCTCCTGATTTGACATCATTAGACTGTTTTTGTGGGGCCGTTTGAAATCTATTGTGTTTACTTCCCAACCTGAAAGTTTGGATGAACTTCGTCAACGCATCATCGAAAGCTGCCATTATATCCCACAACATGATTCGGAAAATGTCAGGAATTTAAACATCGCCTATATCATTGTTTGTCAAATAACGGGCAACATTTTGGACACTTATTGAAATGAAAAATGATATTTTCGTGACCTGTTGTTCAGTCCGCAATGGCAAACTATGTTGGTAGAAAAGTCAAGCCCTAATAAAGTTATTGTTGGTGACGGGAACAGCTTGAAGTTCGTGGTGTAGGTAGTGTTGTGCTATATGCCTTAGTTGGAAAGGAAATTAGAAAAATGTATTGTACGTCCCATACTTGAAGTATACTTTGTTCTCAGCAGGTTATGTTTTGGATAAAGGTTTACATCTAGTGTCAAATGATGAACAATGTCAGTCTATTGATGATAAAGGATAAAGGTTTGTGCAAAAGCAACACGTGCTAATAAACTGTATAGTATGAATTTTATAAACAACAAAGCTGGTAGTGCTAGTCTATCAGTCTTTGATACTAATGACAAATTTGATTTTATGGGTTGTCATTTGAGTAAAAAAGTAGAAAAAGTATCTTTCTGGCATGCAAATCTGGCACACCAACATTTGGATCACATCAAACATGTGCTGAGGAGAAATAACATAAATTATATAGATGATAGCCAGAGTTTTGTATGTAAAAAGTATGACAGGAAAACAGCATCGTATACAATTCCCAGTTAGTGGATCGAGAGCATATATAGCACGTGTGAAAAGAGAAACTGGACATAAATTTAAAACCCTTAGAAATGACAATGGACTATAATTTATGAATTAAGATTTGAAAAGATTTTTGGAAGAAAAAGGTTTAATTCATCAAAGAAGTGTTGTATACACACCTCAACAGAATGGACGAGCAGAAAGAGAAAAGCGTACCTTAGTAGAACCTGCTCGTACAATGTTAAACTCGTCGCACAAAAAGTTTTGGGCTGAAGCCGTGAATACAGTCTGTTATACATTGAATAGAACAAGTCTTAACCCAGTAAAAAATATTTCACCTTATGAAGCTTATTACAAGAAAAGTGTGGAATTTGTTTTATTTAAAGAATTTGAGTGAAGAATATAAGCACATCAGCACTAAGGAAAAACGTTAGAAATGGGATTCAAAGAGTATTGAAGGCATTTTTCTAGTATATGGTGAAGACGTTAAGGGATTTAGAGTGTATTTTCCTCAGAGTGGCAAAGTAGGGACATTATCTTTCTATCAAAAGCAAAAAGTGAAAATAATGGAGAAAATGTGTGTGTATTAGAATATACGGCAGAAGAAAATAATGTTTCAGATTTTGAAGATATAGAGCAGAGTTCCCCAAACTTTTTTGTGTCGTAGACCCCTTGCCATGTTTTTCCGTGTTGGGTAGACCCCCTACTTACCTGATATTGATTTCCTGTAAATTTCTAACTGTAGTGAAGTTTAGTGTTAAAAACTTAAAGTAAAAACACACGTTAATTTATACATTTATTAATTGAATTTAAATTAAAACTGCTCAAAATAAAATTTTGTATCTGTTATGTAAAATATACGTAACATTAAATAAACAGGTGTCTGACCAATAAGTGCCCGTATTGGGAATAAGTGCCCGCATTGAAAAAAAAATAAGAGGGATAAAATAAAAGAAAAAGTGAAAAATAGTAAAAAAAGAAGTTTTTTACTTAAAATAGTACAATAAGCGAGTTCGTTTATTAATTATAAGATAAACGTATGTTCTACAATAATGTCACTATTAGTATGATTAAACTCCGCTTCTTATAGGTTTAAGTTATCTAAAAATAGGCAAAAAATTAACGAATTTTAGTGTGTACCTATCCTTGAATTTTCAGAATAATTAAAAAAAATATTTTCTATAAAGGGGGGTTCTTTAAAAAAAATCAATGCGGGCACTTATTCCCAATGCGGGCATTTATTGGTCAGACACCAATAAACATAAAATAAACTATAAATAAAATAACAAGCAATAAGTCAATATTTTTAGTGAGAAGGATGAACCTGATGCTTTAATAATAAATTATCAACATTTGGCGTCAGTTTTGTAAGGGTTAATCTTAAATCTCCTCGGCTAATGATGTCCAGTCTGTTTCTTTTTTTCGTTAGGAGATTGGTAACAGCGCTGAACCCCCTTTCCACTAGGTATGACGATGGAAAGGAAATTAAAAATTTCCTCGCTATATTCCATAATACGGGATAACGGGTATGTTGTTTAGCAGCCAGAATTGCTGATATCCGTTTTTAAACTGAACCTTAAGTTCTTCGTTTGAACTTAGTTCAGTCAGTTCCTCTTGTATTATGACATTCGTTTCTTCTATGTCACCATATGGATTAATTATCCACGGTGGTATTACCATAGTCGAAATATCCTCAAACCTAGATTCAAAATCTGAATAAATGTTGAGCGTAAGTTGAAACGTCGTCTTCCTGGTAGCTTGTCTGTGACAAATTGGGGAACTGAGAAAATTCGCCCCGTCCAATATTTTGCTTCATTAGTTTAACTCTGGCAAGAAACGCTGATAAGATGGACTTTGTTTTAATCAAATTTAAACTGTCGCCTTGTAATTGCAAACTAACCATATTAAATTTTGTAAACAAATCTGTTAAATGTTTTCCTCATCATTAAATTTTCTTTTAAAATTTTATCTTTAGTATCCAGAAATTCTAAAATATTCTCAAAAAGTGCAAAAAATCTTGTCAAACATAAGCCTTTCGACAGCCAGCGTACTTCAGTGTGAAGGAGTAATTGATGAAAGTGTTCGTCATTTTCTTCACACAACTGCGCAAATAACCGTGTATTCAACGCGTTGCTTCGGATTCGGTTTACTGAATCAATGACTAAATGAAGTGATTAATGCAATCTAACACTCAAATTTTTAGCAACTAAATGTTGTCGATGGATGACGCAATGTATTGCTATCACCCCTGACACATTTTGTTTTAAATATCTTATAAATCCACGATAACGTCCAACCATGGCAGGTGCTCCATCTGTAGCTACTGATATTATATTTGATAAAGGAATTGCTTTTTCAATGAAGTAATCCTTCAAAACATGAAATATTGGATCACCTTTGGTGTCGGTTATCAAAGTTCTTGCGAAGAGCAGTTCTTCGTAGATTTCTTGATTTGTAATAAAACGAACATATGCCAATAATAATGCTGCATTATCAGGTAAAGTTGACTCGTCCAGTTGTATAGAGAAATGGGTCGCTTGCAAATAATTACATAAGAAGCTTTCAATATCGGAACTCATTTCATCAATACGTCTTTCAACAGTATTGTTGCTTAAAGGAATTCTTTTAATGATATCAGATGCAGGTTTGTGTAAAACAGTTTTTAAAACCTCTTCAACGGCTGGCAAAATTAACTTCTCTCCGATAGTATGCGGTTTTCCGGATTTTGCTATAAGTAACGAGATATTGTAAGACGCCCGCAAACCATCATCATGTCTTTGTGACGTCGAAGCAAACATTCTGTCCAGTGTAGGTCTCTTCTGAAATTTATCTTTGAGTGTTTGAAAGTATTTCAAATCTTTCTCTGTTTTATCAGGGTGGCATCTTCTCAGATGATCTTGCAGTTTAGATGGTTTCATAGCGTCATTGCCCAAAACTTTGTTGCATAAAAGGCACATAGGCGATTGTTTGTCCGGCAATGACGGAATGAAGCCAAATTTCAAATAATCAACACTGTACTGTCTACATTTCTTTTTAGATTCGGACATGGCATCAGTCTTCTGTGGGCAAATTTAAATTATTTAAATAAGACAGAAAATCCAGCAGCTGTATATTAAAAATATTTTTTGATTTTTCCGAAAACATTCCATAATTCGAACAACAATTAGCTCGAATTACGGAGATTGCACTGTAATTATATTACCGGTTGCTAAAACTTCCAAAAAGAAACTATTGAGAAGTACTCGTGTAATTTTGCATGATTGAATATTTAACTACTAATAACTAAAGTCATGATTGATGTAATTTATCTATCTTTGCTAACTACGAGTACAAAACTAAAATTTAATAAAAAATAATGTGCTTACTTTTCTCCAGCACTCTCAAACAAAATAACACTGACTCACTATAATTTGTGTGATATACTATCTGTTTATATTTTTTAAAATATTTTCTTAGCACTTTCCTTTTCAAGATTCAGGAAACGAATAAACGTATTTGTCGCACATTCGTATTTATAGAGTGACGAATTGAACAAGTCAGTTCCAGGTAGCGAAGCTCTGAGACTGCGACTCTCAGGTTTTTACAAGTTCAAAATGTATTCCGACCACAAAGCGAATACCAACATCCTACAACTTACACAATTTTATAAACATATATACTAAATTTTTTACTTCATAGGTACTTTTATAAATAATGTATATGTTTTGATATTATAAGATAGTATGACGTACGTAAATAGGTACTATCAGTGTATGTGTTGAGATCCACTATCCATTCATTTCATGGACCCCCAAATTTTTTTTCGCCGACGTAGACCCCTTGCAGGTTGTCATGGACCCCTAGGGGTCGATATAGACCACTTTGGGAATCAATGATATAGAGTAACCCATAGTAGATGAAGAAAATGAACTTCATGGGAGAACTGAGTTAGCAAGCAGCGAAAGAGGCATTACGGAAACTGAGACAAGTCAAAGCCACACAAGAGAGATAGAAAGAAATTATGTAAAGCCACTTACAAGAGTTGATGATTATCATGTAAGTTTGCTGACATTAAGCAATGAAGAGCCAGCAACCTGTGAGGACAGTCAGTCAGTGATAAAGTTGTGTAATAACCCAGTTTCATCATAAGTTGAAACATGTAGACATAAGAGTACATTTTGTTAGAGATAAGATCTTTTCGAAAGTTGTTTATGTTGAATATGTAAGCAATCTGGATCAATTGGCAGATGTATTCACAAAGCCACTTGGTAGAATCAAGTTTACCAGGTTTTGTAACGAATTGAGTGTACTTGTATAGGTATGAATCTTTTTAGTTATATGTACATATTTTAGCAAAGTTGCCATTGAGGGGGTATGTTAAGTCGGCAATGGCGAACTATTTTGATATTAATGAAATGTCAAGCAGCATGACAATTGACAATGAGCTGTCACAAGTTGCCCGCGAATCAGTCTTGACACGTAGTAAGTTTTAAGTTCTTGCTCAAATAAACTTAAGTAAGTTAAAGCCTGTGTCCACTTATTTTGAATGCGCCCTGCTGACAGTTGTTTTCTATATGGACAAATTAAGATAAATAAAGACTTTTCTAATTTTTCGAAAACGAATCGACCGATTTTAAAGTCAATATAAAGAACTTCTAAAGACCTTTCAAACAAGCTATTACTCGATGCCACTTGTCATTCAAAATTTTTAAGTGGATGACCATGGAGGGCACAGGGTGGCAGGGGGTAACGCAGGTTTTGGTTAAAAAGAGATCCCCTATGACAAATCTTTTGATGTGCCTCGGCGTTTTTTCATTTAATATGTGTTTTTCGATAGATCCGTGGTGTTTTCAAATGAACACCCTGTATAACAAGCTGCAATATGTATTCACAATCGTGCTTTTAATGTATCATCCTTTCCATTAGATTTTTGCAATTCCGATGAATCGTAATTGTATCGACGCTGCACATGTTATTGGAGAATCAGTTTATTTGAAACAAATTTTAATATTCTCTCGATGTATGTAGCTGGGTAGTCCATTTGAATGTATCAATAATTTAAACATCGGAAAATTTCAGGTAACGGATGTACCGTGGCTGGCTTTCTGACGATACTCGGTAACGTGCTATCCGTGTACACGTTAGCTGTGATCACTACGGAAAGGTGGTATACGATTACATGGGCGATACATCTCAACAAGGTAAGTGCTTCCACTACTACAGTCAAGTTTCCGTTTTTTTTTTTGGTAAACGTATCTAATTTTCCCTATACAGGGTGCTCTGTACCTTAATGGACACAGAGAAATGGTAGGTAGTATGGACCAACGAATTTGTATAATTTAGAAGGAGTTAAGTCTATACAACTTATCCGACAAATTTTAACCACATATGCACTGTTATGAAAGAAGTTGGTTTCTCAAAAAAATGTATCAAAAGTCCTACAGAAATTAAGTTATAAACCTGAGTTTCAATAATAAATTGAAAAATAAATATCTGTATTTTGCGTTAATCGTCGTGATATTAGAACACGCATTAATAATTTATTGTAGAAAATGTACCAACTGACGAAAACAAAATACCAGGAATTTTTAGTTTTTTCATACTGATAAGGACGTGTGAATAAGGTTTGATCTGTATCGTCGGTGATCTGAATGAGAACGGTCGATTTTTGTGAAGTTTAATAAGGTAGTACTTTGCAAGTTTATGTTTTTAGTTATTTATTAATAAAAAAAGGCTTATGTGTACACTAGTGAAGAGTTGGTGGACACTGTTTTAGCGTGCAGAGAAGCAGGGCAAAATTCGCGAGCGGCTTCTCGTTTACCGATTTACGAATAGGCACATACATCACGAAACATTTAGTTCAATTGTTTCACGTGCACGTGCTGGTGGAGATTTGCGCCCAAGCTTGCACTGCAGTCAATGGAAACAATTTTCAACAGCTTTTATAAGTGAACTGTTTATTATCTCGATATCTGTAGGACTTTTATTACATTTTTTTTTTTTGAGAAATCAACTTCTTTCGTAACAATATATAGATACAGATAGATAGATAGTCTTTATTGTCTTTTGGTCATAAATAGCTATGACATAAGACTTGTCAACATTACATATACAATACATAAGTATGCGATATGCAAAAAAGAACAGGTAGTTAATTAAAACAGTAATTGAGATAATAAATAATAAACAAATAAATAAATAAAATAGGAGTCATTACAAACGCAAACAAATTCTTAATGACATCAAACGAACATGAAAACAAAAATCAATTTTAAATAAATAAAAACAATTGAGCACTTAAAATGTCTAGAAGAGGAGCAATAAATGGAATGTTTCTTTTCCGTTGAGCTTAATAAATAAATAAAAAAATGTGGTTAAAATTTGTCGGATAAGTTGTGATATAATAATTAGAATGATAATAATAATCACAATAATAGTAATAATAACTAATAATTGCGATCCCATTGCTATGTACACCTTCGGGGCCATCGACTGGACAGTGGACGAGCTGCGACAACTCGTCACCAAGTTTGCATCTCAAGTCCTGAATTCCACGTATACAGGGTGGTTTTCTGGTTTTCCTCGAGGGCTTCATTAGAAAGATTTTTTCAATATCTTCAAAACCGTCAACGGGAATGAACCAAATGTGTGGAATTGCCTAAATATTGCCCACATTAAAAAGTGCTTACATAAACTTAACGTGCACCAGTAGCGGAGTTGCAGGGGATTAGTGACATTATTTTTCCAAATTAATATAGTATGCCACTGTATTTTTCTTTAGAAACGCGCAATTTTACCGCATTTTACCTTCAATTTGTTACAAATAATTACTCTTCTCTTTTTTTTCCTATAGTGCACTGTTTTCGAAAAAATAAAATGACTTAGCAAATTCTCGGGAGCAGTAGTAGAAAGATTCACTTAGCACATTTGACTACATAAACAGAATAATTGTAAACAACTTAGAATTAGTAAATTTAAGCCATATGGTGTATGATGTAAATACTGGGCAAGCTATAGTTGTAGATTTAACAAGTGATTCCTCAATTTTACTTTAAATTTTGTCAAAGTTTTATTTTATCTCTGTGTATAATTTATTATATTCAGTCAACCCTTGATGGAATACAGATTTGTAGCATATGTTATACTTTTTGGTCATTAAATGAAAGTAATCTTTCATTCTGGTATTTTGTAAATGATGGTCTTCATTTGATAATGTTAAATAAGTTAGACTTGATGGAAATGTATTATTTTTTATTTTATAAATGAATATCATTACAAGATATTTGATAAAATTTTTTACATTGAGCCATTTTAATTTGCTAAGCTAATTGGAGTATATTTATCTTTATTCAGTATTATTCTCATGCACTTATTTAGTAAAATTTGCTGTTTTTAAAAAATGTAGTTATTTGCTAAATATAGAATAGTCGAACAGAACAAGAACTTTAGAAGAATGATGGTATTATAGATAATTTTTCTGCTATATGTACTCAGACATCCAGAAATTTTTGATAAATATCCCACTTTACTACTAATCTTTTTCGTAGTGAATATAAAAAATTAATCGAGAGTCAACAAAAACCGCCGGGTATTTAAAATTTTCTATGAATTCAATATCTTCACCATCAATATTCAGTTGAACATTTGTACATTTTTCTTTCCGATTAACATAGCTTTCGTTTTATTTGTATTTAATTTGAGTCTGTTAGATGTTAACCATTTTGAGGCAAGTTTCAAGTCTTCGTTTATATAAGAGATACCAGTCTGAATATTTTTAGTACTATATAAATCATAGTGTCATCGACGAAAATCTGAATTTTGCTTTTGT